CCCCAATTTTGTCTCTCATAGTTGAGGTATACCTATGATGAACATTACAAGCCTCTCTCATCTTTTTAAGTGGGAGAACTTGCACAATTGGTGGCTGACTAAATACTTTCTTGCCCCACTGTATTTCTGAAAGTTGGTGCTTACTTCTGGGATGTCTCTCTTCCAAGAAAACAGTAACCAAGCTCCCTTTTCCACACAACTTTATTTTTTTAATTAATATATTATTTATCTATCTATCAAATTTATATGGCTGCCCATCTCACAAGAAGTGACTCTGGGCGGCGTACAACAAAAAAAGTATAGAAACAATAAACATGTCAAACACAATCATATTAACAAAAAAAATGAAAATTACATGAAAATTACATGAATTAAATTAAATGAAAATCTAGCATACTACAAAGAAAAATAACAGCCTTCAACATATTATTTACTTCCAAAAACACAGATATTCTTAGAAAATAAAACTGGTGAGAGTCTGTTTTGTTTTGTAAAGTGCCCACCTTCAAGGGAAAAATGCAAAGGTAAGCTAGATGGTAGAACATTTCATGCAAGGCTACAGAGGTCCCAAGGAGCAACCTCACCAGCCAGCCTTCTGGTAAATGAGTGCTTTGTGACTTGCCATGCTCTTCATAACATTCATTTTGGGAATGAAACACCTACACACACCATTACCCATTGTAAACTAATATTCACAGCATGCTCCTACAATTCTAACTCTGCCCACTGGACCAAAGTTGGAGATCTTGTTCCAGAAGCTGTTAAGTCAAGCAAGTAAATAACTGGGTGAGCCATTTCAATGACAAGGATGACAGGGAGTTTATCTTCATTCCAAATCTCAAGTTGCAGAAATAGACAGAGATCTTCCAGGTGGCTGCCAAAGGATGCCAACCAGGCAGATCTCTATATACTACCATTTTGGAGGTAAGTGGAATCTACCATTTTTAGCCTGACCAGCAAAGCTACCCAAGCATTTAAATCTCTGCTGGAAGTAAAATTGTAGTAATTTACTTATGTTTTCTTGTATAACTGGAGACAGGGATTAATGAATTGCTGTTTTTAATAATCATGCTACATTAATTATGGAAACCCTCATTTAAAAGATTTAATTTTATCATTCACTGCTAGCTTTTATGATTACATTTCAGTACAGTGGTTTAATCTAAGAGTCACCAGCCTGCAGTCCCATAAGTCCTTTGTGATTACAGCACCAACATTCAGCAACAGAATTGCCAAAAACTGGCAATACTTTTTCTGTTATATTGAAGTGCTACATTTATGAATACTGAATGGAAAAATTACGAATTTGGAGCACAGATTTCACCCATCATTCAGCAGCTGGGTGTGAACACAATTGAGTAATAAGACTATCATTAATTTAAAAAAAAGAAAAAATTCCAACCCTCTAAACAAAACAGAAAACCAATCTCTGCAATGTAGCCTCACTTCTTTATGAATTTGTGCTATGTCCACAATGGTCCTCACCCCCCCTCAAAACATTGTTTCATCCAAACATTGCCCACTCACCTTAAATGACAAATTACAACTTATTCTCTCTTAAAACAAAAAAGTTATTTTTTTTAGATTCAATTCATGACAGAAATCTAAATGCTATTTCATTATTTATAACTTATTTTTCCCTTTTATTTATTTCTTTTTTTGACAGACCAGCAATTTTCTGGGAAAATATTGCTGTTGTTGAGGCCACAGAGCCTCAGCAGCAGAACAAGATCAATGAGATAGACTGAAAAGAGAATTACTACAACGGCAAAACACAGCTCCCACTACAGTATCCTGAGACTCAAGGCACGCCAAGGCAGATTCCACACAAAATCTGGCAAGCACCATTACATGCAAAATGCCTTCACATAATTTTCACAGGATCAAAAGGAAAAAAAACACATAAATTAAGTTGCATATCAAAAATAAAAACAAAATATGGAAAGATCAACCCAAAATGAGAACAAGGGCATCAGAAATACACACACACACACAGAGAACACATTTTTTCCATTTAGATCACTTGCCATACAGCATGGGGTTTTAAAAAAACACAAAAGACTATTTTCAAAAGACAGTTTCCAAGTGAACATACCCCACCAACCCAATTTAATGGCCACCACTGCTTAAACCTCAAAATCTAGTTGCTGCCTTTTCTTATCCCTGCCAATTGCTAAGTTTCCTTGTTAGCATGAAATGCTGAAACAGGATTTCATACGAATCCATTTTATTTCCTATGGAAGTAAAATATACTGACTTCAGATGTTTTACATTAACATTCAGCAGTGGGAGTGAGGAAGAGAGCTTGGGATGATGGGTATGAATAAATAAATATACGGCAGGGAGAGAAAACAGAGCTGCAACTGCCGCCCAGGCGGAAAAAAAAAAAAACCACGGAGGCTTATCACGCCTCCCCCTTCTGCTCTAGCTTCTCAGCACCGCCTCCCGAGCAAGCTGTGACTCTGCCGCCCCGTGGTAATTAACCAAGAATAGTCACGTTTTTGACTCAAAAGGTAGAATAGGTGGAAAGGTTATCAATCCAATTCTGAAACTCATATTGCGCCTCAGAAAACTCTTACGAGCCAGTAAGCAGCCCTCCCCACCCAGAGCCCTCCAGATGGGTTATACTAGAACTTTCTCCTCAGGGTCAAGACGGCTGGGGTCGGCGGGACTCAGAGTCCAACACATCTCCAGGGCTGCAAAAGGCTGCCACAAGCTAGCTACCGTTCAGCGATGGTATCAGCGCAGCCCTGTTTTTATGTCCCGGAACCCAGTCTCCTCTCTCATGCATCGCGCCACAGAAGCAATAGTCCGTAGAACATGTTTTCGTCCCACCCGCCTCCCCACCAGGCAGAGCCCACGACCCTCTTTGCGGGCGCTGGGACGGGGCAACGTCTGGGAAGAGGCCCCCTTCCCAGCGCGCGAGCGCGGCCAAAATCTCGTTTCCCTCTTTCTCCGCTGCGGGACACCATTTTCCCCTTGGCCGAATACAGGACTGATGCGCTCTGGAGGCTAACGGGGGCGGGTAAAGATCAGAGGCCTTCCCAGCTCCTTCAGACAGGTGCCATGCCGCGCCGTATGTTTGCAACGCTTAGCTTACCTCGCCCCGCACGGCGCCACTCCCTACCCCGACTGCCTGCTCGCCGACACCCGCCCCGTGGCACCACGAGGCGCAGAGCTTGTTTACCAACTCGCCTGTCCTCTAGGTTTGAGGCCCGGCCTCAGGCTCCGCCCCCTCCCGCTTTCATTGGCTCCTCAGAAGCCGCCTCCTTTCCGTTGTCCAGAGATTAGCGCGAGAGCGGAGATGTCAGCTCGCGGAAAGCGTGCTCGACTCGTGGACTTCGCGTCCTGTCCAATGAAAAGCCGAGGCGGAAAAAGTTTCGGCCAATAGGAAGGCGGCGCTGCCTTCATCCATGTTGCGCTGGTAGCTTCTGAGCTCTTCGCCTGGTGACAGGAGGCCCCTGGATGGAAATGGACGTGGACTAGCGCTTGGGGGGGCGGGGAAAGCAGCAGGACTGGTGCATGTGCGGTAGGACACGTTCAGGCTTCCTCACAAAGCCCCATCGGCGCTACGGTGGGTTTAGCTCAGCCCTCCCTTTGGATGATTAAGCCGGGCTGGGATTCTCTTTCAAAGGACGCCTTCCCAGGAGCTCCTGCATGCCAGGTTGCTAAATCTGAGTTACGTGCCTTCCCTCACATATACGGCAGCAGCTCAATGGGCATCATCGGGAGCAATGCTTATGTTACTGGGGGAAGAGGGATGCTTAGACGCTTTCTGTATAACGAGCACGTCCTTTGTTCTTATTGCTCGAATACATTGTTGTTAAACTGGGAAGGAAATTGTTGTGGAGGGCAGTACTGTAATGATCTTGGACGTTCAATTAGTAAATTTAAACAAACTGCACATTTTTTTCACAACTCTTTTCGTGCTTTTTGAAATTTAAACAGGGTTTTTTAAAAATTCATCACTAATCACTTGTAGTACATAAACTATATAAAATAATGATTATTTCATTGTTATAGCCTTGCCATTATGATATCAGCTAAAAGGCAACCACATTTCCTGGCTCTAGCATCCAGTTTTCTTGTCACTGATCACATTGCATTATTGTGGCTTGTTCCCTTGACCTAGAATTCCCTGTTCTCTGGTAATGCTGACTGATTATTTACCCACAACTGAAGAGCAGCCAATGAAATTAAACTGAATATTTAACATTGGTACTTGCAAAAATCCTGCCTCTAAAACCATGTTTAAAACAAAAATATGATGAGACTTTATATTGCAACATTTAAGTAAAGAAAAGTAGACTGTTATTTTTTGTATTATATTTGTATTGCAACCTCATCCCTAAGGAACTTGGGGAACTAAGAGTAATTTTGTTTTGTTTTTTATTTTAGCAGTAACATCCTTCTCATGTTCATATCTTTCCATGTGGCTGAGAATTATTGATGTTGTAATCCAATATATCAGGAGGACACAAAGTTGGGGAAAGACAGGAATTTGTCCAATTTGTCCAAGACAGGACTATATAATTAAGCTGCAGTCCTATATCCACTTATTTGACACTGAATTTTATTCAGTGGTAGACATGCATAAGATTGCTGTTGTTGACTGCACTCTTGTACCCATTTACCTGAGAGTAAGCCCCACTGAATTCAGTGATTAGTTCTGGGTAAAGTTATATAGAATTGTACTCATCTAACTTTATAAAATAATAGTGCAGATTAAATTATTTTGAGCTGCAATTAAATCAGGATGTAGCAGCAAAAACAAATTGTGTCACCTTGAACACTAATAGACATATTAAATGAACTTTGATTTAAGTCACTGTGTTTATATATTATTAAGCAAGTTTATAGAGCTGCACATCCGGTCAATGAGAACTCTAGGCAGCGAACAAAACACAATAAACCAACAAAATCAGTTAAAAGAATCTAATAAAGACCCCAGTAAAAATCACCCTAACCACATAGCTAACACACACATGGCAGCCTCCACTAACATCCCAGCCACAATGCTTGGGGAAAAACCCAGGTCAAGGCCTTCCAGAAGGCCAACAGAGTTGGGGCTGAAACTCAGCCGGAGTTTGTTCCGTAAGGCAGACATCATGACAGAAAAGGCATGCTTCCTCTGCCCCATTAAGTAATGCTGCTTTACTGAGGAGACCTGGAGCATGCCCACCCTGTCAGATTTGGTGGGTCAGGCAAAAAACACCAAAGACAGGCAGTCTCCTGTGCCAGGTAAGGCTTTCAATTCAGTACCTTGAATTGCACCTGGAAGCCTACTGAGAGCCAGTGTAGCTCATATAGCAGTGGTATTACATGGGTATACCATGGTGCACCAAGTATTGTGCATGCTGCCATATTCTGAACCAGCTTCCAAATGCTCTTCAAGGGCAGCACCATATAGAGGGCATTTATATATTCAATTTATATGGCCGCCCATCTCAAATGTATGTTAACGATAAATAAAAACACCATAACAAAAACACTAAATAATAAATACAGCAACTGAGATAAAACCAACTGGCACAATCAGCATAATCATGATATGGGCTCGACCACACACCCAAGGCCCAGCCTCGGTAATAGAAGCACATCTTTAGGTCTTATAGAAAGCCATTAGAGTTGGGGCAAGTCTAGTCTCCAGAGGAATGATGTTCCAGGAGGTGGGTACCATGTTAGAAAAGGCTGTCTTTCTGGGTTCCACCAAATGACACTCCCTAACAGATAGGAAGGGGGACGTGGTGGCGCAGCAGCTTAATGACGCTGAAAGTTGCCAACCAGAAATGGTCGACATTTCAGCGGTTCGAGTCCAGCCTTCGCGTTAACAGGGTGAGCTCCTGTTTCCTCCCCAGTTCCTGTCAACCCAACAGTTCGAAAACTCACGTGAGTAGATAAATGGGTACTCTCACTCCGGTGGGAGGGAAAAAAATGCTGGCGGCGCCTTGCAAAAGGAGTCAGGAGCAGTTGCCGGTAAGTGCGAAACCGTGGTCACCCGAAAAAAGGGCACGAAGCAACGGAAACCCCCCCCTCCTGCGCTCGCCAGCTGGGCTCTGCCCTAGGA